GCCTGAACCCAGGAGGCGGAGGTTGCGGTGAGCCGAGATCGCGCCATTGCACTCCAGCCTGGGTAACAAGAGCGAAACTCCGTCTCAAAAAAAAAAAAAAAAAGATCTCAGAAGTTTCCCTTGGCAAGTCAGACTTTAAAAAAATGTTATTTAAAAAATTTGTATTCAAATATTAACATTTTCTAAAATAATTAGCCAATATCAAAAATTCTTCAAATTTAACTTTAAAAACTATGAAATAAGCATATAAAATATTTCCAATAGTCCCTGAGATTTTTAACACTTATTTCTAAAGCGCACTTAAAGAATAGAAAAGCCAAGATTTTAGAATGTAATAAATATTTAACATGTTTTACATTTAATTATTCATGTGTCTTCTTTAAGGAATTTTCTAAATTCAAATTTGTACAACTATTAACCTTAATAGGTATGTGCTACAACATGGGTACATGTTTTTAATTGTCAACAGGAGTAATTTCTAATTTAGACAAACTATTTTGTCAAATGACACATTTATTTGGCACTTGTAATTGTATACCTTAGGTAATGTGAAATTACCATAATGATGGTATATATACTGAGTAATAGACACATTTAAATGCAACTACTTGTCTCCCATGATACTACAATTCCATCAAGCTTAGGCTCCCAATTGTAAATCAATAGCACATGTAAATGATCTGATTCTGTTTTCACTACAGCACCTTGCAAGGCATCTTTGCCACATTTTAATTCTGTTATTTAAAGAAACATTTGTTCCTTTCACCTTGAAGACATACAAAGTGGCTATTTTAGAAACAAAGCTCTTTATATGAAATTAAAACATATTTGATAGCATAATTTTTTGCCTATAAACTGAGAAAATAGTAATTCAAAGTAGAAAGATAAAGAACCATTTATAAAAAGAACATTAGTAAAGAAATGTATATCGATAATTAAATAATTTCCTATCTTTTAACTAGACACACACATACCAAAATAATTCTCTGTATGGTAAAAAAACACATTTTCATGCATTTCCTTTGAAGTCATCTTTACCTTCTTAATCTTCATGTGGTTTTGTGATTATTATTATTATTATTATTATTAAAGATAAGTTCTTGTTCTGTTGCCCAAGCTGAAGTGCAGTGGTGAGATCATAGCTCACAGTAACCCTAAACTCCTGGGTTCTAGTGATCCCTCCTGCTTT